TAAAGGGTTGAAGATAGAAGGAGAGGGGGGGTATTTATAAAGGGATAAAGGGTTGAAGGTAGAAGGAGAGGGGGGGTGGGTATTTATAAAGGGATAAAGGGTTGAAGGTAGAAAGAGAGGGGGGGTTGAAGGTAGATGCTAAGGTTAATTGAATAAAAGATTAACACAACCACAAAACTATGTTTCCGGTCTTTTCACAGATATTGAAATTAATCTGAATCATTTATTAAAGAAATCACGAAAACTAGAAATTTAATAACATCTGCCATTTAGCGTTATCTCTACAGATAGCGTTTAAAAACATGAGACCAACATAATATAAAAATTCTGTTGAATAAAGTGGTAAACATAAAAAATCAATTCTGTTCTGAATCAATAATGGCACTCTGTAGAGAGTAAATTATGCTGAGACAGTGATAACCAGAAAACTCTGACATTGGAAAACGACTGTTAGACTTCAGGTTTGGCTATATATAGTCCAGTGAGCATGGGACACATTAATTGTGCAATTCAAACAGACCCATTTTACTCAATATGTGATTAAAAAAGTGTCCAGTAAAGCTAATTGCTTTGTAACAACATCAATTACACACAATTATTGCTGTAGGGTTGTCTTTCTGTTTCAGAGTTTTCTGGTTATCACTGTAATGTTTGTAAAGCTGAACCGTTGACGTACTTTCTAGCGAATATCCATTTAAAGAGTTGCCTTTGATCCCGATTCACAACGATAATCGCTAAACCTTAACCTGATCAACTAAGATACATAAGCGTTAAATGGTACTGATGTTAATCATACAACACTCTATAAATGGAAGGTCATTTACGACATTGTATGAAAGGTTGTAATTAAAATTGCGCTGATATTTTTACAAAGAATTATTTTCCTATTCTGGTTCAGGTGTATGGCATTGATGTATAATTGAGTAAATAATGCGGGTAGAGAAGCAATAGTATACATAATATATTAATATATTGCAAACTGGGTTCGTTGAACGGAAAATATAATCCAGGGTGTTATAGAGTTAGATATATTATATAAATAGTATACATAATTTATAAATATATTGTAAACTGGGTTCGTTGAACGGAAAATATCATCCAGGGTGTTATATAGAGTTAGATATAATATATTAATAGTATACGTAATAAATTAATATATTGTAAACTGGGTTCGTTGAACGGTAAATATAATTCAGAGTGTTATATAGAGTTCAGATATATTATATAAATAGTATACATAATATATTAATAGATAGTAAACTGGGTTCGTTGGACGGAAAATACAATCCAGGGTGTTATATAGAGTTCAGATATATTGTATAAATAGTATACATAATAAATTAATATATTGTAAACTGGGTTCTTTGAACGGAAAATATAATTCAGGGTGTTATATAGAGTTCAGATATATTATATAAATAGTATACATAATATATTAGTATATTGCAAACTGGGTTCGTTGAACGGAAAATATAATCCAGGGTGTTATATATAGTTCAGATATATTATATAAAGAGTAAGAACTACCAGGAATAGCAAAGCCTGGGTTATGTGAAACCTTTGTAAAAGTTGGTTAAAGCTCACAGTTTTTTTGGCATGCGTTATTTCAAGTGACCCGCCATTTGCACATAAATTTTACTCAAAGGGGGTTGATTCATTTGGCGCAATGTCCCGCATTGCCGTATAACTGTACTGTACAGCTTGATCTAGCTGCTTAAAAGTTGGCCCGGCAATTGAAATTAACTGGATATTACAGTGTTTGAAGACTGGCCTGTCCACTGTCCAGTCAAAGGTTTAAAGGGCACCATTGTAAATCTAGCATTGCCCTCTTTCCATGATGCATTGATGGCCACTTGAAATACGCTTACAGTTATTTAAGCTTGACACGTGAGATTTGAATTATTAAAGGGAGAGACAGGCTAGACATTATAGTTGAGCTGAAAGTGCAGTATTGTAGAGAAAACTTTAGAATTCGTTTCATTCCGAATTTTTTTTTACGATATGCAAATTTTTTATAAGAGCGTAAAGTAGCTTATGATATTTCACAAGTTGTTTAAGTCAGCAGGAGAAACTTTTTTACAATTCTTAATTTTAAAAGCGTTGACAAAACATGTATGTATACAAACAAGTTGAGAAAACTAATGAACTAATAGCATTGAAAATACGTTGTTAAAATTCATTTTAAAAACTCGCAGGTTCATGCAAATTCTTTCAGCTAGGTTTACTGTTGCAAGGTTTTCTGTATTTTTATTGTGAAGACGACATTTTGAAGAAATCTGCGAATAAGATTATAGAAACAGCAAAGGAAATGATGATAATAAAATAATCAATTCTACGGTTCTACTATGGCTTTCATCAACAGCAATTCAGTCTATGAAATATTTTTTTTGCACGTATTGTCCGAGTTATTTAGTAATTGAAAAAAGTTTCTTCTTCTGACTGAAACATCTGGTGAAATATTACAAACGACTTTACGCTCTTATTTAAAATTGTACACCGTAAACATCTCTCATTGGTATCAAATGAATGCTAAAGTTTTTCTCTACAATATACTGCACTTTCATCTCCACTACCATGTCTAGCAGGTCTCTCCCTTTTAGAGCGACAATTTTCACGTTTCAAATAAAAATATGATGTTACGCTTTAGATATACCCTTAAAAATCTACTGATTCTTTTTGTTTTCTTCCAGAAAAAGACGTTCCACAGTCTACAAAAGAAAAGGATGAAACGGTACAAAAACTTATAATTTAGATAACTTTGATTGTATGTATATTCCCTTGTGGTTGTATTTACTTCTTTCTTTGAAATCAAGTTTGACATTTTTATTCCCCCGCTATGTAGTAATATAGTTTTAACTAGGGCCGAGTACGATCTGACTTTTTTTCAATCCGTTCGTTAATAGTTGGTTAAAACAGTTCAAGTTTTTTTTCAGCTAGTTAGTTTTTTAGCTAAAAGCGGAACGTTTGTTTAAGTTTGGTTAACGATTTTTTCCGCTATTTTTAAAGCTGTCGTTTTTTAACGATCTCAAGACTACTAACGGTGTTAACGGCAGATATTGTAGAAATCTTTATGATACCTGCAGCCGTTAACGAGCCGTTGACGATTATTGTATGTAAAAATAGCTGGGGAAAAATTAATTGCGCCCATACAATTCTTTAATTTAAGAAATAAGCGAGAGGGGGAGGGGGTCAGAAGATGTTCTGTGACCGAATTAGAAATTAACGGTTATTGCTGTTTGTTAACGGACTCTTTCGTTAATTTTCAAAAACCACAGTTTTATTAACGGATCTTTGCCCAGTCCTAGTTTTAACGAGTTTTTAAAAGAAAATTCCTTTTCATTTCTAAGAACTGTATCAAGTTCAATTGCATTTAAAGGGACTGTATATTCAAGTAACCCTCCAATAAACAAAGTAAAATCGATTATTTAAAAAAATTTTCACCTGGAAATTGTTTTTTTTTCTTTGATTGCGGTTCTCTTATAGATAAAAAAGAATTAGGGAATATTAATCATATCAAGAATCAAGTTATAAAAACGACAATATCTTCCTCATTCTTACATAGATAGAGTTTTCAAAAGTACTGTTGTACATCTTCCAGGGGGTCTCTTAAACTTTCGTCCCTTCTGTGCATCTCTCCCACCCCTAGGCTCTTCCCTCCATCTAGAAAAAAAATTCCACACTTATTATCCCCCTTTCTATTATTGAACTTGTTCCTAGAAGTTTCTTTAAATCATTTTAATTGGTTTAGTAAACATGTCGTAAACCAAAGTTTATTGGAAGGGGAGTATACAGTCCTCGTCGTATCTAGCAATACATCAATACAATGAAAATTATTTTGATTTCTAACAAGCATTTAAATTTTAAACAGCATGGATGGATATATATTACGTATAATCATGGAATCAACGTAAAGCTGTTCAATCCAGCAAAAAAAGCTCGTTAAAAATCAAAACTTGAAGTAAAAGTCGTCTTCATTGTATTGATATAAACGCCGACCATTGTATAATAATCTATAAAATACTTCATAGTTTGGGAAAACTATTTGCCCAACCCTGATAGATTTTTGCGCCAAAAAATGGAAGAGATATTGTAGAACTAAAGATCCCTTTTTTCAAATTTCAATCCTACTTCTCCCCTTTCCATTTATGAAAATTATGTAAAATTTTTTTAGGCAGTGCTAGAAGCACAAATTGATTATTCACAAGGAGGACGTGTTGTCTCATCAAAGAATGATTCAGAAGGAGGGCTAGGTCACCTCCATGAAGACTTTGATAATTTAAGTGGAGAGAAGGAAGGAGAAATGGAACTAAGACCGGCAAAACTTGTAAGTTTATATATTTAAATCTGTTAAGAAAAATTATGGACACTATTTAAAAATTAATATATTTTTTAGACGCCTTTGGGCCCAATTGGTGGCCTGAAGCCTGCCTTACCACCTTTGAAAAAGCTGTCTCCCCTTGGAATACCTGGAACTGGTCCACAAAGTAACGGAAATCCATTGCAGAAATCAGTATTAGGATCATTGGACAAATCGAAACAAAATGAAGTTCCTTTACCACAGAAAAACAAAATGTCGGCTCTTAAAAACAAGATGGTGGATCAAGGAGAGAAAATGGCGGGAAATTTTCCGAAGTCCAAAACTTTAAGCTTGAAAGCAAATACTGACTTCAGAAAAAAGCCAAGTGAATCGAGTGAGGAAAATTCTTCCGAATCAGACAACTTATTGAACCAAATAAAATCAAAATATAGGTTTGTATTTCTATATTTAAAGGATAACATTTTTTTTACATATAAACTTTTAAAATGATTGTAGTGAGCCTGAGGACAACTTGAGACAGGGTGTCAGAGGAATTCTAAAATCAAAACTTTCAGATTCAGAATCCCAAGAAAACAGGTGATCAACATTTTAAATAAAACTTTTTGGCTCAAATTATTTTTGAGAATCTCTCTGTGTTTTAAATAATCAAAGACAAATATTTTAGCATTTTTAATATTCAACATTTTTTTTGTTGAACTTTGACTTTTTGACAACTTTTTACAAGTTAATTCAAGTAATTTTCCACTAATAGAGTGACATGCTCAATTCACATGGTAATCTTTAAACCTTGAATTTTTGAGATATTCTTATTTTTCTAGCTTAAAATGGATTTTGTGTGGCTAAAAAAAGTGACTTGAAGATTTAACATTTTTCAAATTAGAAAAACAATGATGTCTTTTTCATTATTGCTCAGATAGAAATACGGTGTCTTGTTAATCTGTAAATGAATGATTACTTGAAGTACTCCTGCTAAAAATGATCACATTATTTTATCTGAAGGTGTAAACGGTCTGAGGCAGCTGTGAGGGATGATAAAAGAATCATGTTCAATCTTGATGCTAATATTGAGTTTGCTTCAGAGGTATTTAATCATTAGATGTATATAATCTTGATGCTAATATTGAGTTTGCTTCAGAGGTATTAGGTATTTAATCCTTAGATGTATAAACAAGCATTGCTTTTTAATATTCATTCAGGGTGTCCGCGAAATATGACAGATGAATGATCGTCTTTTATCTTTAAATTATTGGCGGCATTTATCTGTCAACCTAATTTTAAAAGTAAAATATTATAAGATAAATAAAAAATACCGAAATGTCGTCCTACTTTTGCTTTCAAAATTACCAAAGAAATGAAGACTGTCGCCAGAATTATATAGTTTTCTTGTCTAAAATTAAGATATGGACAAACCACAAACCTCTTCATATTTATGGTATTTTTGTAAGCAAAAATAGACAGACCACATTTTAGAAATTCCAGGAATAGTGATGCTTTGTGATTATTTTTAAGAAACAAAACTTTTAAATAAAGTTGAGATTTTAAAGGTCAAAGACGTTCTTCAAGCCGTCTCTCAATCTCAACTGTCATGTTTTTGGGGACACCCTGTATTTGAAATTAATGTAGTTTTGCAAGGTTTAGTAATTGCATGTAAAGGATTTAAAGTGTAAAGTTCAATGACATATATAAGGGGGAAAATGTGTCCTATAAACACATCATTGCAATTAAGGTTGTAAACTTCATGGAACTCAGAATTTTATTCGCCAAACTAAGTTTTTACACTATTATTTTCATTTTGATCTTCATTGAATTTCTTATTATTAACTTGGCTAGCTTATATTTTTTTCAGAGTTTAAGACGATTTTAAAAAACTTTAAAATGGGTTTGTTTGTTTTTTAGTTGAAAATTTGGACAATTTCAACCAAAACAAACTTTGAATTCTCGTGCACTTCTCTGTTTTGGAACTTGCAGCTTAAAAACGATCAATAAGAACACTACCCCCTATACTCATAGAGAATATAATATATATTAGAGGGGAATTTAGAGTCTCTCTCTGTGTGAATTTTTTCAGTCCCTTTCAGCCTGAAACGGAGTTCAAAGTGTACAAATCATGTAAATGTTCACAAATTATATGCAGTAGAGTATATTAATACAGTATGTTCGCTAAACTATTCATTTCAATTTCGAATTTTTTAAAGCTGTTAAATAAACTTTGTAATGAATTAGGTGAATAAAAACATCATTTGATTTATAGCTATAGCGGAAAATCATTGTTTGTAAAGTAAAAGGCATAGAGTCTATGTGAAATGATCATTGGTCAATCATTTGGTTTTCTTTTAATATTAATTTTAGATTTTCTATAAAATGATATTCAGGGCCCAAAAGGTTATATAACACAAAAATGTGAAGTACACCTGCAGTATAGAAACAGTACAACAAAATGGCTGCTTTACACTTTTTTCTAGTAAATTACGTTCTAATATATATTCTATTCTCTTTGCCTTTACTGTACTCTTTAAACTTGTAGAAACTGAACCATTACCACAGATTATAATTTGCTAGTTCTTATATATTTGCAGACCGATACTGCAGTAGACCTTTGAGATGTCAAATTACGAATTCTGCTAATTTATATAGTCAAAGTTTAAAATATCAAAAGATTACACCTTGCAAAGATAAAGAAAACTATTTAAGCAAAATCTAAAGTTGTGGTAAGTGAGCAGAAGGGGGAACTCATGTATTGTGGATATCGAGAGTAATGCCTTGATCTTGATCTCATGGTAATCGTACTCAGTCATGGTTGAAGGGAGCTTTGAACAGGGGAGGAATAACTGAAATTAAGAGATTAAGCATTGCTTCTTAAATTAAAGTGCCCACATTGGATATCGACTTTAAGCAATCGGGACTATAAAAATTCAACACAAAATTTCCAGGCTCAGCACCCTTAAAAAACGTACACCTTTCCGAAAAAAGAAAATAATTTATACACAGATACAATTCAAACTGCGGAATAGGAAGACGACTTTAGACCCAAGTTTGATTTTAGAATAGTCTAATGAAAATGGAATACAACAACTGTGTAGTGTACACAGACCCATTTCACTTAGGAACAGTTAATTTTCATCCTATATTGGTAAAATTATTAGCATTACAACAACATGAATATTCGTAAGATTGCTTAAATATCGCCGTGTAATATATCGTGTAATATATCGTGTAATATATCGTGTAATATATCGTGTAATATATCGTGTAATATATCGTGTAATATATCGTGTAATATATCGTGTAATATCGTCGTGTAATATATCGTGTAATATATCGTGTAATTCCACAGTTTTAAATTTTTCTTTTTTTGCAGACTGACGAATCTGATACTTCCTCCAATATAGTTTCTTCACACCAGAGACGGGAACAGTTTTGTAAAAGTAAACAACTTTCAAAACCATCTCTAGAGAAGGTAGGGATGGATATAAAACCATCTTTAGAGAAGGTAGAGACGGATAAGAAACCATCTCTAGAGACGGTAGGGACGGATATAAAACCTTCTCCTGATAAAACCATGAAGGTGAAGAATGAAGATAAGTTTCCCAAACCTTTAATCCGGAAGTTGAGTTCGTCTGTGAGTGATGAGGATACTCCTGTCACCGGATTCATGAGTAAGTACTTTAATCTTTTTCTAATTATTGATTTGTATAAAGTTGTAATCTCTAAACTTGTCTATCTCTTTGTTTGTTTGTCCGATCATAACTCAGGAACCCCTTGACCTATTTGCCTCAAAATTTGATTGGGAAATTGGAAATGTTCTTAGCCTAAGTTTGAGATTCAAGGTCGAGTGCGGGTAAACGGCGGGAGTAACCCTGAGAAACCAGGACAATTTTTATTTTCTTTATTTTAAAAGTGTTAATTCAAAATTGTCAAGGAAAACATTTTAGTATCTATGATACAGTGATAACCAGAAAAATCTGGAATAGAAAGTTGACTTTTAGACTCAAATCATGACTTTAAGTAGTCCAATGAACATGATGAACAGTAAATGTGCAATGTTAACAGACCCATTTCATTTTGTACGCGATTTAATAACTTACTAGTAAAAACCCCTTTGCTTTGTAACAACATCAAATGCACTTCAGTATTATAATTATGTCGTCTTCCTATTCTATAGTTTTCTGGTTATCACTGTAGTAAATCAGTGGTTGGAACTTGTGTTTAAGATGACCACCCTAAACCTAGTTTTTAGTGAATCAAAGGTTGAAACCTTTGGTTTAAGATGACCACTCTTAACCTGGTTTTTAAATCAGAGGTTGGAACTTTTGTTTAAGATGGCCACCCTAAACCTAGTTTTTAGTAAATCAAAGGTTGGAACTTTTGTTTAAGATGGCCACCCTAAACCTAGTTTTTAGTAAATCAAAGGTTGGAACTTTTGTTTAAGATGACCACCCTAAACCTGGTTTTCAGTAAACAATTACCAGAGCATGGACACTTTTAGTTTGAAACAATAAAGCGTAATACCTAAGATGTCTTTCATATTCGCATATTTTCCAAAATTTAATTTTATTTTTAATTTGACATTTTACATAAATGGGGTTTCTGCATGCAGAAAACTAAAAAGAATTTTTACGATTTCGAAGTTGTTCTAATTATTGATCAACCTTTTTGAGTTTTTAACCCCCTGTTTTGTGGCTTATCAGCTTGTGTTTAGTGAGTTTAGTTTAGTCCATGTTTGTGATCTTTAAAATAAAAAGATGATGATTGAAAAAAAATGGGAGAATGACAAAAAACTAAATTTAGTTTTTTCATTTCTTTTACCCTTTTTTCACTTTTTAAATCTCCTCCTTTTTAAATAAATTTTATTTGCTATTTTTTTTGGTTTTCAAAATTTTATCCATATTTCTTCCTTACATTTCTTTTTTGAATAATTTTTCTCATCTTTGATTTTTTTAATCTTTATCAATATTAATCATAATAATCAGAATAAAAAGTGAAACTTTTATTTTATTGGTTTGTCAAATTCACAACGGCACCCTGTAAACCGTTGACTGATCAAAATTAAATGAGCTAAAAATCAATTAATTTTAGTGCAGAGACCATTGTAAATCAGACAACTTTAAAGGGGGGTTCACATGAAATTCATCTACCGTTTACTGTGAATTAAATACATTTTTGAAATGTATTGCGCATTTATAGGTCATATGATAAAAAAATTTTGAGGGAAGTATTACAAATTTAACTTATGTTTTAAAACAAAAAATATCAACATTTTGTTATCCAGAAAAGCGTTGTATATACAACGCAACTGAGCTTGAGCCTGCTAATGGTATGTACAAAGTACACAGTACACGGTACAGGTCGAGTTATGCCTGCTTTGTCACTGTATCCTGTACAGACTGGGCCGAACCAGCTGGTCACTGTATCCTGTACAGACTGGGCCAGACCGGCTGGTCACTGTACTCTGTACAGACTGGGCCGGACCAGCTAATCACTGTTCTCTGTACAGACGAGCAGAAACCAGCTGGTCACTGTACTCTGTACAGACTGGGCTGAACCAGCTTGTCACTGTATCCTGTACAGACATACCATGCCAGCCTGTCACTGTACAGATGGGCCGTGTCAGGTCATTGTATCCCATACAAACAGGCTGTGTCAGCTGGTCACTGTACATTGTACAGACGGGCCAGGCCAGCTGGTCACTATATTCGTAGAAAAGGGTCGTGTCAGCTGGTCACGTACACTGTACAGGCCGGGCCAGACCAGCTGGTAATTGTTACATTGTACGGTTCGGGTCAGGCCAGCCGGTCACTGTAAACCATGTACAAGTCTGGCCAAACCAGCTGGTCCCTGTACACTGTTAGAAATAACCTTTATACCTTTAAATAAAAAAGCACAACCCATTGCTAATTCTACCCTAAACTGCAAAAAGTGTATCTTTGTAAACAATTAAATATATTCCAAACAACACTTTATTATTTTCCTACAATTTTTTTAATTAAAAAGCATAAAATCTACTTGACAATATAAAAATTTTTGCACATTAAAATGCTAAAATTAGTTCAAAAGTTTTACCGGCAAAATAAACTTTTTTTTTATAATTTTCTTATTTAAGATTTAATTTGTGCAGATAGTTCATGATTTAGTCCCAGGACTTTGACCTTTTCTCATGAATCTATAAATTTGAAATCAATTCTACTCTAGAGGGTTTTAGACGGAAATGCACAAAAATTAGAGGGTTTAAATTCTTTCACAGACATACAACAGGGGTTTAAAATTAGTTAGTTCGAGAGGTGAAGAGAGGGGGGCTTACAAAGTCGTTAAATGATTATATTATCTTGATTTATTAAAAGTTCAATTTCAATAAAACTAGTTTTTTCTAAACCTGGTATAATTTTTTTTATATTTTGTAAATCAAAGATTAACCTGCTAAATAAAAATTACACACGTAAAATTAAACTCCTTAAAAAATTGCATGATAAATTAAGGTCCATAAGCAATACATGTATTTAAAAGCATAAAATAGTGAAAATGATTTCTCTTATATTACTCAGATACTATTCTGAACTAAGCATCATGTTACTTATGGAACTTCGTTATGATTTAAAGATTTATGTGATCAAATTCTTTAGAAAGAAATACAAGTTGGTTACATTAATCTTACCAAAATTCTAAACATGAAAACTAAAAGAAGTAAATAAAGAATTCGTATTATCGCTTAAAACTATTGCATCTAAATTAAAACTTGCCGGTAAATACAGGGTGTCCCAATAAACATGGGAACTTAGTGACGATCTCGATATCGTCTTCTTAAATATTCTTTGATTTAGTATAATGATACCTAATAATTAGAAAGCTGTTATCCGTAAGATTTTCGTCTTTGTTTCCAATCTGTTTGTTTATGTTTTGACTGCATATAGTTGAACATAGTAAAACAAGAAAATTGCAGCATGCAAACAGAGTAAACTTGTCCGTCATCACTGTTCATCTTGCGGAGACATTACTTAGACACATCTTTACAGCCATAACCGTTTTCTTAAAATAAACTCTAGCAGACATAATAATATTATGGCATTTGAAATTAGGTATTACAATGCTAATTCATAACAAAGACGATATCGAATTCGTCACTGGATTCCCATGTTTATTGGGACACCCTGTATAAAGATTTTTACAAAAAAATTGTTAAAATCTTTGCTTTTAATAATCTAAACTTAATTAAAAAAATAATTGTATCTGTAATTTAGATAAAAGTGGGTTGGATGTCTGCAATTTAATTCCATCTGGTGATATTGATCATGATCGATCACAGGAAATTGATCCTGATCAATCTGAAGATGAGTTTTCTGATCAATACAAATATTCAAAAGACAGAGACAATTCAGAAGAATCAGGTATAATATATACAGAGAGGTCACAGCAAGCTAGACAGAAGGTGTTAAAGGTCAAATTTATTCGACGTTACCGCGGTACGATTTTGTGACCTCGTAGATTCTCTAATTTTGATTTTAAGCACAAGTTTTGGAACAGCAATTTTATCCGATTTTATACAGGGTGTCTCAAGAAACATGACAGTTGGTAAATAGTTTAAAATGTCTTTTTCCATGGTTTGTTAAGTTGTTATAATACCAAAGACAATAATACAAATATTATATACAGTTTGTTTTTAATCTTTGTGAAGAAACAATCTCAAGGAATAATAATTGTCTTAAAACATTTTTTTTAAAATTGAATTTTTCCAAATTATCTTTTTACCATCTCATAATCTGAGTTCGTTTCCCTTATGTCCATTTGACAGCCCAAATTTTTATTTTTAATAATCTTTTTTGTTTGTTTATCTTCTTGTGATTTTTTTACATTTTTAAATTTTTTTTTTTATCGATTTTGATGGTTATTAAATCGTTAGAACTGACGAGGGTCAACCCAGACCGAAACATATTTTCAATAAATGTGGAACTAACATCTACTGTTTTACTCTACAGAGGTTTGGTCCATCACCATCACCGAATTTTAAATATAGGAGTCATGTTACCGTAAAATTAATTTCAAAGTAAACTATATTTGAGCAAAAGATTTTTTAAACGAATTAAACTGCATAGAGCCTTTACTATCTAATATAGATGTATTGAAGAAGAAATCAAAAATATTTATTAACTGTTATTTTTCGTGGGACACCCTGAATCAGAAATTCAAAAATTTTCTGTTCTTCTCATAGCTCTTAAAAAACAGGAGTTTATAGGATTAAAGACATGTAGACTCATATTTCTTAATATATTTATTTGCAAGCTAGAAAGCTAAGTAGTAAGTTTTGTGGGAAAGTATGAATGTAGGTAGGAAGCTAGGTAGGTAGGAAGGTAGGAAGGTAGGAAGTTAGGAAGGTAGGAAGGTAGGAAGGTAGGAAGGTAGAAAGGTAGAAAGGTAGAAAGGTAGGAAGGTAGGAAGGTAGGAAGGTAGGAAGGTAGGAAGGTAGGAAGGTAGATTGGCAAGTATGTATTTGTGTATGGTAAAGTTTGATGTTAAAATCCTAAAGCAAGGCTTTTCCCGTATGGAATACATTTCGATATATTGAACAAATGTTGGTTTAGAAAGCGACGATTTGGGAGAAAAATTACGAAGCTTTTTAAATACTGATGATCGCTTGGAGCCGAGCAAAAATGAAAGAGGAATGGGAAGGGGCTATGGTGGATTAATGAAGAAACAAGAAGCTTTGAAAACTCCAGAATTGGAAATTACTCAAAAATCTCAAATGTATGAAGACAATGACAGTGAAAGGTAAAAGTTCAAAAGATAAAATAGTCGTCAAACAACTTTTAAATGGATTTTACACCTTCCATCAAGTGAATATCTCCTTTGCAATTGAAAACAGTACCCTTGGACTGAAAAACAATGATGAAGATAGCGTTGTATTTTTTTTTATCTGGTAAGGTGTTGAATTCTGACAATTTCTTTGTTGTTTCTGCTGCATAAACTTGTACTTCTCCGCAAGTTACTTTTACTGAGAAGCCAGAATTTGCCAATTTTTGGATATAGAAAGAAACATTTCATTCATCCTTCAGCAGACAAAGGTTTAAAGGGTAGTGGGTACTGCTCAGGGTCCCTTGAAATTATGTCTAGCTCTAACTAATAATTTCCTGTATTTTGATCAGTTTTGAGAATGAGCAGATCGTGGAAAAGGAGGATAAAGATGATAGTATTGATATTCAGGAAAATAAACTTATAGTGTCAAAACTTAAAATATTAATAAAAGGGTTAAAAGTGGAAATTTTTCTGCCTGTAAATATGGCAAGGGGGGGGTGCAGGTTTTTCATAGAGCCCTGTTGCTAACCTTCTTTCCCCCCCCCTTCCTTTTGATCTTTGTATCTTGATTAAATAATAAGATTATTCTCCAGACTTGCATGCTACAGCGGACAAAATCAAACAAGAAATCTCTTCTTAGAAACTTGGTTCAAAGGTTTATCTTTTAAGACAGTGCTCCACAAAATAATGTGGAAAAGTAATTATACTAAACCAAAAATATTTTGTTTCAATATACTTTCAAAAACATGATTCAACAAATCATTTCTCATGTTTTTTCAGTTTAAGCATAGGGAAAAATTAACCAACAAAAAAATTTTATAGAAAAGGTCCATTTAAATCTTTCTTATGCGCAACATTTTCTACAACTTTATTCTGCAGACTTAAACTCCTGTGTAGAAGTTCTAAAGCTTAAATTTTTTTTTCTTATTTCCGTTATAGTATAGGAATACAAATTCCAAAAATCCAAAACTCAGGATTTTATTCCCTGTGAGATTTAAGGAATTTATTCCCCAAGAATTATTTCCAGGTTCCAAGGACTTTTCCCCGTGATTTTCTTTAGATTGAACTTTTTAAAATCATTAGAAAGTTATTTTTCTCATTTCTGTGAGGTCTTTATATTCTAAAACAGTTCTTAAAGATAAAAATCTAATCTGTAAAAAGTTTGTTAAGACGCTTGCATAGTCGTGATCCTAAAACTTTTAAACTTGGAATAAACATTTCTTTTCAGAAGGAGTTTAGATGAAGGGAAAAAAGAAAAAGAAATTGACGATGGAGAAAAAGGAAAAGTCGAAGAAGAGTTTAGTGAAACTAATATTGCTCTACAAGGAATCAAGTTGGCTTCATCCACGCTGTCTGTACTCAAGTAAATATCCTTGTACTGTACTCAAGTAAATATCCTTGTACTGTACTCAAGTAAATATCCTTGTACTGTACTCAAGTAAATATCCTTGTACTGTACTCATGTAAATATCCTTGTACTGTACTCAAGTAAATATCCTTATACTGTACTCATGTAAATATCCTTGTACTGTACTCAAGTAAATATCCTTGTACTGTACTCATGTAAAGATCCTTGTACTGTACTCAAGTAAATATCCTTATACTGTACTCAAGTAAACATCCTTGTTCTATACTCAAGTAAATATCCTTGTACTGTACTCAAGTAAATATCCTTGTACTGTACTCAAGTAAATATCCTTGTACTGTACTCAAGTAAACATCCTTGTTCTATACTTAAGTAAATATCCTTGTACGGTACTCAAGTAAATATCCTTGTATGGTACTCAAGTAAATATCCTTGTACGGTACTCAAGTAAATATCCTTGTACTGTACTTAAGTAAATATCCTTGTACTGTACTTAAGTAAATATCCTTGTACTGTACTCAAGTAAATATCCTTGTACTGTACTCAAGTAAATATCCTTGTACTGTATTCAAGTAAATATCCTTGTAATGTAATCAAATAAATATCCTTGTATTTTACTCAATTAGATATCCTTGTACTGTACTTAAGTTGATATCTTTGTACTGTATTTAACTAAATATCCTTGTACTGTACTCAAGTAGATATCCTTGATCTATACTCAAATAGACATCCTTGTTCTGTAATCAATTAGATTTCCCTGTACTGTACTCAAGTAAATATTCTTGCCCTGTACTCAAGTAGACATCCTTGTTCTGAAATCAATTAGATTTCCCTGTACTGTACTCAAGTAAATATTCTTGCCCTGTACTCAAGTAGACATCCTTGTTCTGTAATCAATTAGATTTCCCTGTACTGTACACAAGTAAATATTCTTGCCCTGTACTCAAGTAGATATCCTTGAACTGTACTCAAGTAAATATTCTTGCCTTGCACTCACGTAGATATCCTCGTACTGTACTCAACTAAATATCCTTGTACTGTATTTAAGTAAATATCTTTGTACTCTACTCAAGTAAATATTCTTGTACTGTACTAATGTACATATCCTTGTACTGTAATCAATTAGATATCCCAGTATTGTACTACAGTAAATATTCTTGTACTGTATTTGTAAAGTACTCTGTACTTAAGTAGATATGCATGCACTGTACTCAAGTGAGTATCCCTGTACTTTACTCAAGTGACAATCCTATCAAGGAATTATATTTGTACTGTAAACACTATACAGTGTACTTAAGTGACTATCCCTGTACTTTATTCAAGTGACTATCCTATCAAGGAAATATAATTGTACTGTATACACTATACAGTGTACTTAAGTGACTTTCCCTATACTTTATTCAAGTGACTATCCTATCAAGGAAATATATTTGAACTGTATACAGTGTACTAAAGTGACTATCCCTTTACTTTATTCAAGTGACTATTCTATCGAGGAAATATATTTGTACTGTATACAGTGTACTAAAGTGCCCCTGTACTGTACTTAAGAAATATTGCCAGACTTTATCTGTTGTCCAAGAAGAAAACGACAATATCTTCTTTATTGTAACTCGTTAACAAATTTAGCAAAATTTTTTTTTTTATCATTTAAAGCTGCCACCCTGCTGCCATTTAACAAATTCATAAACAGTTTATTCATCTTGTGTGAATTATTGTAAATTGTATTTAGTTTTAAATTCAAATTTTTTCTCTGCTGTCCAAATAATAATTTGTTATTTAGAGCAAAAAAAGAGGAATTACTACACCGAGAAGAATCAGAGAAAAGCAGAAACCGGTTTAATATTTCCGGATCCGGAAATATTTCGGATAAGGTTATTCAGCCTTCCGATTCGGAGCGGAAATCCTGTAATCTTGACGAAGAAAAAGTGAAGGAGATAATGAAAAATGAAATTAATTTGTTAAAAGAGGAATTGAAAGAAGATGAGAGTAAGAATAGAGAAGAACTTAACAGAGGAATAGGTGAAAAAAATAAAAGAAAAAAGTGTTTTAAATTTAAAAGTAACAACTTCTCAAATGTACACTTTTTCAAGAGGAAACCAACATAACTTACAATTTTTTTAGGGGTACCTTCAAAAATTTAAAATTTTTCATTGCATTTTCCCAGGAGACAACTTCCCAAAAGGGTGTTTTCCCAAATGGAAACTTTCCAAATGTTCGATTTTCCAAATTGCAACTTCTCATACCTACAATTTTTAAAGAGGCCACTTCTTAAATTAACATTTTCTCAAAAAGCAAATTTCCAAATGAATAATTTCCTAAGTGATAATAAAAAAAGTCCTATTGACGCAGATCTTGGCCTTTTTGTATTTCCTAGTTAAAATTAAAATTAAACTTAAGAAAACATCAAACTGGAAAATAAGCATTTTGGGATTTGTACTTTTGAGTTTGTCCCATTTCAAAAGTTACCTTTGGAATAATGCTAAATGGGAAAGTTACCCTTGGGATAATGCTAAATGGAAAAGTTACCCTTGGGATAATGCTAAATGGGAAAGTTACCGTTGGGATAATGCAAAATAGGAAAGTGTCTAACTCAAATTGGCGCTTTTTAAAAGAATAGATTGTTTAATGCTTAAAATACAATTAATTGAAGATAACATAGATGAGGGTATACGTGCTCCTTAAATAAGATTAAATTCAGACTTAACTTAAGTGATTCCATTATACAAAAACAAAACAATATTAAGAAATATAATCTTTATACTTTAAGTAAAAGGGTTTAATTATCTTAAATAATACACGTCTTATTCTTAGAATCCAAATTCCTGCTGCTTGAAACCCGAATATCCGAAATAAAACCTAAACCTGGAGAAACCAGTGTTCCAGGATACCCGGAGCAAAGTTGGCGGGATGCTCTGGACCTGGAGATTAAATCTCTCAGATCAAATATCAATCAGGAAAACCTGAATCATTTTCTTCTTATAGAACATTTAATATTAAAAAACCTTCTTTTGAAGTTTGAAGTTCTGTAAAAGACTTAACTCTCTAAATTTCGCTGAAGAAATTCGGGAATTCAGGATTTGGAAACGGCTCTCACATCCTTTAAGGAAGGAGTCAAGAAAGATTTAGAGGTTTTCTATTTATTTTTAGTAATTTTTTTTTATGATTAATTATATTGATAATTTGAGTAAATCAAGAGTTTTGTTAACATGCAAACTTTGTTTATAATAACAAAGTTTCATGCTTCATTGATTAGGCCTTTACACATGGGGGGGGGGCTCCAAAACCCTCCA